CGGAGCTCTGCTGTGCTATTTATAGCCCTGTCTCTGCGGGTGGGGGCGTCAGGCACCAAACCGCACCCCCACCCATGCACACAAACCCTCAAAAACCTAGAGACTCCAATTCTGACTTCCTTTTCTTATCCGACCTCCCCTCAGCCCCAACAAACCTAAGTGTTCCTTAGGGGACTCCTCCGCAACCCAAACAGGGACCATCCGGATTCTTCGCTGAGCTTCAGTGGATCCCCATTCTCTGCACTTGGTGTGTTTATGCGTTCCTGTGCACCAGACCTGACCTGCTGCACACGGCACTCGGCACACTGTGCGGAGGGGTGTAGAAAGGAGGTTTGGCTCCACAGCCGGCGTCCATACTGTGCAAAGAGAGACAAGAGCTGTGACTGTCTCCTCGTAGTTTAATTGTCAGGGAGAGCATGGTCCAACCCGGAGTCAGACACGGATACATCCCCACCCTGCCTCTCCCCAGGCGGAACACACATCACAGAGAAACTTGGAGCTCACCCTCCTTATATAGACCTCTTAGATAAGTATGAGGAAGGTGGATATCGGGGGCACTTTTAGAGAGGGCAAGAAGCACTTCCAGATGCCTCCATCTCACATTCTTGCGGGGAGGTGGGAAAGGGGCAGGGAGAAGAGCCGACCTCCCACTTGAAGGTCTCTGTCGGAATCGCTCCTTATATCTTCTGGCTTCCTAACTGTCGCTATTGGTCTCTCACACTGTCTCTGCCTCTTCTTGCCACCTGCCCTGTCTCCATGGTTACCACAGCTTCCATCTACATATTTTAGGAATGAGTTTGTGTCCAGCTGGAATGCACCAAGGGAAGTAGGAGATGAGGAAAAATCCTAAGGATCTGGAAAGCTCACCCAGGGTCCTGTGATAACTCAGAGGCTGAAGGCCCCCAGACATATGATACTAAAAATAAGGTTCCCAGGGAAGTGGGAGAGAACAATATTTGCAGGGAAGCTACCCATTTTTACTAGTTATTTCTTGGATGCCAACTATGTGGCAAGTGCTTTGCATATATTATCTCCAATCCTCACAGCAACTCTGAAAGATAGGAGCTAGTATCTTCTTCCAGATGAGAAAACTGAGACTTAATAAGGTTAAGCAAGGTCTCCAAAGCTTCACAGCTCTGTTTCCACCCTATTCCAAAGACTGAGCACTTGCCACTACCCCTCAGCCTCCCAGTTTAGAGACCACTTTCTCTGACATCTGGAAGATTGTTCTTGACTGACTCCTAGATTGTATCTGTACTCTGAACTCTTCTGTTTCTGTTTTCTATGAGAGTAAGACTCCTCCTTCCACTCTGATCCCCTTTAACCAAGGGGCTTGGAGGAGCAGTGGAAAATGCAGAAAGCACTTGACTCTGCTCTGCCACCCCAATCCTGATACTCTGATCGCCAATCCTTCCTTCCTCAAGGTCTCTCCCCCTTTCTCATTGCACAGTAGTAATTCACAAAGAAACATTTTTAGAAAAGAAGTAACCCCTGGTGGTGCTGGAGAGAGGAAGGCAGTGTGGAATTGAAGGGGAGGTTGGAGTAATGGAGGAGAGTCCAGGCTGTGAAGGCAGTCACAAAAGATTGATCTCCAAAGAGCAGGTTGCACGGGGGTTCATTTATAAGCTCCCTCAACAGAGTCCCGCGATGAGATCTGAGTGCCAGGTTTTGTCTGTGAACTTTCGCTGGCCAGGCCCTTCTCCATCTGGCGTGAGATCGAAAAACTGACCCCAGGTGGTTCTGCAACCAGGTCCCTCTCTGCGCCCCGCTTCCGAAGCCTGGGTTGCGGCTGACTGTCTCCCTCCCTCCTCCTTCTCTACCTCCTCCACCTCCTCCTCGTCCACCACCTCTTAGATTTCCAGGGGGCCGACCTCCTTGTTCGACTTCTCCTAGATTGGCCAGAAGAACCCACCAATGGGGAGCGCTTGGAGGCGGGTCTAGACCGCCACCGGCTTCAGGAAGACAAGCAAATTTCAAGTTGGCCGCGACTTGAGCTCCGCGTGGGGGAGGGGCAGCAGGTAAGGCTCCGAACTGGTGGCTCTGATTTGGTTCTGTCCCACACTTACCTGGCCTGGCTGCGAGACAGAACGCTTTCAGGCAGCCTGTTGGATCAGCTCTCTTCTGGCTCCCTATCCTTTCTCCCCTGAGCTCCCATTGCTCTTTTGATTGTATACAGAGAACGGTAGCTTTCTATCGCGCATAGGGAGAGATATTAAAGCAGAAAATGAGAAAGATTCACTCTTGTACCGCTGACTCTTTGCTATGGCATCAACCTCTCCCGAATATGTTAATATCATCCCCCTAAGAATCTAGCAAACTCCTGTTACCTATCAAGACTCAGATGAAACATTGCCTTCTACCTGTAGTTTTTCTGGGCCTCCTTTCTTGAAAAATTAATTGTCCCTCCGTCTGACGATAGAATTAGGTATACCTCTATTAGAATACTTAGTGCGCGCGCGCGCGCACTCTCGTAATGCTTCTATGCTTTTTAGAATACTGTATAAGGTTTTGTAAGCCTGTTCTAGTACTACGCAGTACCCAATAAGCCGTTAATTGAATGGAATTGATTTCTGGAAACTTGCACTCTTGTTGGAAAGGCAGAATTTAAACTATCGTAATTGGGGAACAATAAAAGACAATACAGTATATAATTAAGGGCCCTTAAACTAGTGGTTCATAATGTTAGTGTTTCATAATTGTTCCCACAGTCTAGAGAAGGAAGAAAGCAAGAACTGGAATGGGGTGGGCAGGCTTTGTGAATTACAAGGTCTCAAGTTTAGAGGGGCCCGTAGAAATCATGCATTTATTCATTCCACAAATATTTTTTGAGCACCTACTCTATGCCAGATACAGTGCTAGATTATGGGGATCATGGTGCATCTTCTGCTCTAGCATTGCATCCTTCTGATACACCCTATGTAGTAAATTGTTGCCCAGCATCTATGTAAGATCTTTAGTAAGGGAACACCCTACCACTCTTTGCAGGTTATTCCATTTTTGGATATTTGTTCTTCAGTCAATATCCAACAAATATTCTAAATAAGAAATACACAGGCCAGTTAAATGCATTCCACACCTCCGTTGTAAAAGAAGGAAATCTGTCCTAGTGGTAGCATTCTTAAAAACAAACCATCCTTTTTGTTTTCTGATTTTAGAAGTAATATTCATTTATTCTAAAAAATCTAGAAGCATAAAAATATAAATAAAAAGGCCTAGTATTTTATGATCATGATGTAGTATAACTATACTAATATTTTGACATACATATCCTTCTAGCTTCTTTTCTCTGTGTGTATATACACATATATATGTCTGTGTATACATACGTAAATGGGGGCATACAATAAATTCAATTTTATATTATGTTCCCCCAATCAATATTGTGAATATTTTTTTCTTTTAAATATTTATTTGAAGTCATAATTCTTATGGCTACATAATAAAGTGAGTATTGGCCGGGCTCAGTGGCTCAGCCTGTAATCCCAGCGCTTTGGGAGGCTAAGGTGAGGGGATTGCCTGAGCCCATGGGTTTGAGACTTGCTTGGGCAGTGAGACCTCATCTCTACAATAAATAAAAAAATTAGCTGGGGGTTGTGGCATATACCTGTAGTTCCAGCTACTTGGAAGGCTGAGGCGGAAGGATCGCCGGAGCCCAGCAGGTCGAGGCTGCGGTGACTGGGAGCAGCCACTGCACTCCAGTCTGGGCAACAGAGTGAGACTCCAACTCAAAAAATAAAATAAAAATAAAAATAAAGTGAATATTTGACTGTTGAATAAGTTTGATTATTTAAGAATTTTGGCTACCATAAATAGCTCTTTGATTAACATCACTGTACTTATATCTCTGACTGATATCTGATGATTTCTTTGGAGTAGATTTTTTGCTTGTTAGTTTGTTTCAGAGTCTCACTCTGTCACCCAGGCTGGAGTGCAGTGGCATGCTCATGACTCACCGCAGCCTTGACTTCCTGGGCTCAGCTTCTGTCTTGGCCTACTGAGTAGCTGGGACTACAGGTGGGCCCCACCATGTCCTCGGCTAGTTTTTTGTTTTTGTTTTTTTATTTTTTAGAGACAAGCTCTCGCTATATTGCCTGGCTGGTCTTGAACTCCTAGGCTCAAGCAGTCCTCCTGCCTTGGCCTCCCAAAGTGCTAGGATTACAGGCATGAGCCACTGCGCCCAACCTGGGATAGATTTTTAAAGTAAGATGCCTGGGCTGGGCTTGGTGGCTCAGCCTGTAATCCCGCGCCTTGGAAGGCTGAGGTGAGTGGATTGCCTGAGCCCGCGGGTTTGAGACCCACCTGGGCAACTTGGCAAGACCTCATCTCCACAATAAATCAAAAATTAGCTGGGTGTGGTAGCGTGCACCTGTAGTTCCAGCTACTTGGAAGGCTGAGGCGGAAGGATTGCCGGAGCCCTGCAGGGCGAGGCTGCGGTGGCCGGGAGCGGCCACTGCACTCTAGTCTGGGCGACAGAGTGAGACTCCAACTCAAAAGAAAAAAGAAAAAAAAGTAAGATTCCTGGATTGGGCATATAAGTATTTAAAAGACTGTTGATTCAAGAGGTCAGATTGCTCCTCTTGAAAGAGTGTGTGTATAGTCCTTCCAGTGAGGTATGATAGTCTCCATCTGAAAAAACTCACAACATCCTGATTTTTGTTTTTTTTTTGAGTTGGAGTCTCACTCTGTTGCCCAGAGTGGAGTACAGTGGCACGCTTCCAGCCTCCGCAGCCTCAACCTGCTGGGTTCTGGCGATCCTTAAGCCTCAACCTTCCAAGTAACCAGAACTACAGGCACGCACTACCACACCCGGCTAATTTTTTTTTTGATGTATTGTAGAGATAAGGTCTCACCAAATTGCCCTGGTGGGTCTTGAACCCACGGGCTCAGACAGTCCACTCACCTCGGCCTCCCAAAGTGCTAAGATTACAGGCTGAGCCACCAAGCCCAGCCAACATCCTGATTATTATTTAAATCTTTGTCAGTTTGATACGTGAAGAGTGGTTTTATTGGCCATTCTTTTGTCAACTGCCTATGCATGTCCTTTGCCCATTTTTTTCTATTGGGATGATTTTTTTTTTCATTTGGATTTCCAAGAGGTTTTTCTTTTGTTTTGTTTTTGAGTCAGAGTCTCACTTAGTTGCCCAGGGCAGATACCAGTGACATGCTCATGGCCTCCACAGCCTCATTCTGCTGGTCTCTGGCAATCCTTCTGCCTCAGCCTTCCAAGTAGCTCAACCACAAGGGCACACCACCACCCTCAGCTAATTTTTTATTTATTGTAAAGATGAGGTCTTGACAAGTTGCCCAGGTTGGTCTCGAACCTCTGGGCTCAGGCAATCCGCTTGCCTCTGTCTCCCAAAGTGTTGGGATTACAGGCATGAGCTACCGCACTGGTCCCATGAGTTTTAATATAATAATAGAGTGAACTTTTTGCTTTATGAATTACACATACAACTGTGGGGGGCCAGCTCCTGCAGAGAGATTTAGGGAGTCCCTGGGAGGTGTGGCGGTGTTGACGATTATGTAAGGATAGATATTAAAAGAAAGAAAGAGACTGGGGGAGAAAGAAGAGACTGGACTCTGTCTAGTGCAGAAGCCGATTCTGTAGGAGGGATAGATATTAAAAGAAAGAAAGATGGAAGGATAGATAGAAAGAGAAAGAAAGAAAATGGACAACTGTTCAATGGATTGAGCAGAAGCCGTTTAATGGGACAAACCGTAAGTCTTTGATCCCAAATTTTCACAGGTTAAATCACAAGACTTTCATGTGAACACAAGGCCAGGTGGATGAGGCGCATCGCCCCCATCCACCAGGTGTTTCCTTAAGCATGAGGAAGGACAATCTCAATTAAATCACAAGACTATTACGTGAACACAAAGCCAGGTGGGTGAGGGTTGTCCTTCACCCACCAGACATTTTCCCAAGCATGAGGAAGGACAATCCCAAAATTATCTCACTGTTCCTCATGCTTGGTTAATATTCCTCAAAAGCAATACTACAATTCTAACATCATAATATTCTAATAATCAATAACTTTTAAAACTTATGTATACGCAACACCTAATGACTAACTTAAATCCTAATACCTTTCTATTCTGTGCTAATTCTACCTACACTATAGAAACTCTTAATTATGGCTCAAACCAGTTCCTAAAGAATGTGGCCCAGTCCAAAGATCACACTGGGCCGTTTCTAGGAACAATTGATTACAATCTCTTAGCAAAATGGCTATTCTAAAATCCTATATATCTATCTTAATTTCTATAAAAGTTTCTAATACCTAATCCTAATATAGAAAGCCGATCATCAGCAATAAAGCTTCTTTTTTTTTTTTTTGAGTTGGAGTCTCACTCTGTCGCCCAGACTGGAGTGCAGTGGCCGCTCCCAGCCACCGCATCCTCGACCTGCTGTGCTCTGGCGATCCTTCCACCTCAGGCTTCCGGGTAGCCGGAACTACAGGCATGCACTATCATGATTTATTGTGGAGATGAGTTGCCCGGGCGGGTCTCGAATCCGCGGGCTCAGGCAATCCACTCACCTCAGCCTCCCAAAGGCGTGCCACTAGCCCGGCTAGCAACAAAGCTTCTAAAAATAAAACCCAAATATAAACTGTAAATTGTACTAAGGCCAAAACCACAATTAGTAGAAAATAGGAACAATGAAATTTCTAAAGTTAGCTATATTCTTATTAAACCTCAAAATATCATGTTTGATCATGCTTGAACTAACATAATTCCCTGACGTAGTATGATCTATTCTACAATACTTTCTATAAGTAAAATAAATTCAGTTTCTATAATAAGTAGAAAAATCCTACACTAACTGTAGCTAAAAACCGGTTTAAAAGAATGAAGCCCAGTTCAAAGTACACGCTGGGCCCTTAGGAATGTGGCCCAGCCCAAAGTTCGTGCTGGGCCATTTCTGGTAACTCTAAATAATCATCTATACCATCTAAAGCTGAAAACAGCTCTCCATATGTATATACTAATTCTGCAAATATATTTTTAAATCTTATAA